TTTCACTCATGAAGGGTTTTTCTTGTTATACGATACCAACTTTACTAGGCTTTCGCTTAGGCAAAGATTTGAGGGAGGATGATGTCAATTGAAAAATGCAAAAAATCTATGGTTGTGTGCTTTTGAATAAAGCTCTGTTGATGATTTACATGTATTGTTTCAATTCTTAAACACCGGACATATAAGGGAGTGAAACTATCATTAACCCCCTTAGAGCCTTGAAGTAGGAGTTTCTTTTCTTGTCAGAAAAAAACCCTCATTTTTTAACTCAAGGGCAGGGTAATGTTTAGTTAATCTGATCGAGCGTTCAAATCTCATCAGGAGTGCGCACATAGAGATCAACCATAATGTTTATTCCTCACAAATCAGGAGATCAAAAGATGAAGATACCATAATGGTTATCCCTCATCAACCAAAGAACAAGGCAGTCATCACTTTTCAGCAAGTCCAAAGACTCGGGATCACACAATTTGTTCAAAATGAAAAGAAATAAATGATTAAAATAAGAAAAGAAAGAAATCCCGCTAAGTCAAAAGAAAAATAAAACTTAAAAACAAGTGACTTAGGCAAAAATTAGGGTATCTCGCTGGACTTCAAAATAAAAAATCCAAAAGGATTAGTCCAGGAAAAAGTTAAGGAAATAAAAAAGATTGAAAAAGAGAAAAGTGAAAAGGATTACCAAAGAAAAATCCTCTGCACAGAAAAAATTTGTGTGATCAGACACCAAAGAACGAAAGGTGAGTGATTGTCTTGTCCAAAAACCTAGTTGATTCCTCAACCATCTTGAATTCATGTTAAGAGATGAATGCTCGTGTCGAGTTAATTGAACTTAGAAATGGAGAACATCACGGAGAATGAGTGGGTTAGGTTAGACTTTGAGCCTTAGATGTTTTTTTCTAAAACTGTAAACCAGACCACGTTATAACTCTTAAAAGTCCTAATTGAAACATGGATTATTTCGAAGGCATGCTGCAATGAGATAACATTTAACTGACTTCTAAGCGGTGTGCTTAAATATATCTGTTGGTATCTTATGCTTGCGTTATCTTTCTTACAAAATAAGATTTCCAAATGTTACACTCTAGCTAGTGATTCATTCACGACAGAGTTGTGACATCATTTCAATAAAAGTTTTTAACTTCAAGACTAACATAAGCTTTGCATTAGAATTGTCATTCTCTGAACAAACATGTTTATGTTTGCAAACAGTTGCTTAATAATAAGGAAATTTTCCGTGATGCGAATCAGTGAAGGGCATGATCATATCAAAGTAAAAGGACTTCAACTCCGTGGAATAAAAGCCAATAATTTCGAGAGAATGGTCATAGCTAGAGGCATGTTGCCTAAAGACTCTGGAGTATAAGTAAGTTGTTTTTGTAGTTTAATCACCCTATAAAGGGTAGATTTTGAAGTCTTTATTGAGCAAGGTATATGTCGAGTACAGCCAATATAGGGCAATCAAGTCGAGATGTAATCTCTCAAAGTTCAGCCAATCCAGGCAATTAAGTTGAGATACAATCTCTCAAAATTCCGTCAATCAGGGGCATTTACATTGAGAATCGACAAATCTCTCCAAAAATTCGTTGATCAGGGGGAATATTTCATATCTTAAAGATATTGGGGCAAGTCATCTCTAGTCAATATGATAAAAGAAGCCTTGTGAGGCAAATTCCTTCATAAGCCATGCAACCTAGGGCAGGTCGTGAATTAGAAGAACCGTTGTTCATTGATGGTAAGCAGTATACCAACACTAGAGCAAGAAACTATAAAGGTTGTCTCCAACAGGAAGTTCTTGATTGGTATCCCTAACAGGGCATTCAAAGAGGTTTTCTCATGCAGAGTATCTCCTCCCCAGTAGATTGTATTAGGAGGATTCATTACAAGGGTTTTCATCCCCTAAAAGAAGCTTGTCTGTTAAGAGTTTCTTGTCATGAATTATTTCATCTCCAAAAAGAGAATACTTCCCCAGCAGAAGCTTGTGGTTAATGTGTCCCCTAATGGACTTTCCTTTGCCAAAGTTTCTTGGTTAAGAATTCTTTTATCCCCGACATTGGTGTATTGTTGAAATTCTTGTTCTTCTATCTCCGGCATAATCCTGTTTACAAGAGTTCTATGCAAGAGTTCTCTTATCCTCAAGAAGGTCTTGAAAGATCACTTCTCCCCACACAAAGAATCATTCCCCGGTAGAGTGCAGCATTGGAATGTCTTGTTTAAAAAGTCTCTGGTCTCCATCAGAAGTCTGTCTGTAAGAGTTTTCCTTCAGGGATTCTTTTATCCCCAACGGAGGTTGCATTTCTAAGGGTTTTGTGCAAGATTTCTATTATTCCCTAAAAATATAGAAGAGTTCATTATCCCTCAGTAGCGAGAGATAATGGTTTATTCCCTAAGCAGTTTGAAGTTTGGTTTGAAGTTGGGATTAGCTCTCTCTTTCGCCGCTCATGATTTGGTGGTGTATCCGGCAAGTCCAATAGCTATTGGTATCCTCAGCAAAGTCCAATTATCATTGGCTTCTTTTCATCAGAGTTTTCAATTTATTTTTTCAAATCCCTGCAGAGTTGATAAGGTATATTGTTAAATTTTCTCAGAGTTTGTAGTACAATGCAAGTCCCCACCAAAGCTGATAATCAAAATCAGGATTGATGTCCGGTTTGTTACTCCTCACACAGAATTAGAGTGTCTGATCTTAGTTTCAGAAGGCTACTTACTAGCCTTCAAGCTCCTTGACGGAGTATTCTAGCATGCATCATCACATTGCATCTACCTAAAAGCGTAGCATTTCCATTATTTATGGAACATTACGCCATAGAAAAATTCAAACATGCATCGAAGCATAAGCTAATTTTGATAAATCAGTTGATATATCCCCCAGAAGAGTTAATCTCCACATAGTCTCTTATGGCATTCCCAACAGGCTTCCTTAGAGTCTTTTGCTTTTGTGTACCCTTCAAAGTCCAGTTTATCTACTGGCATCCTTTTGGTTGGACAAGTGTGTCCTTCCTTGTTAGAGTTCCACAGTATTTGGTGTCTCTTCCTCTGGTAGTATTCCGGTATTCTTTTGGTTAGACAAATGCGTCCTTCCTTGATAGAGTCCCATGGTATTCAATGTCTCTTCATCCAGTAGTATTCTGATATTATGTTGGTTGGGAAGGTGTGTCTTTCCTTGATAGAGTTCCATAGTATTTAGTGTCTCTTCCTTCGATAGTATTCTGGCACTCCTTTGGTTAGGCAGGTGCATCCTTCCTTCTTAGAGTCCCATGGTATTTGGTGTCTCTTCATTCGGTAGTGTTCCAGTATTCCTTGGGTTGGACAGGTGCATCCTTCCTCGTTAGAGCCCCGTGGTATTTGGTGTCTCTTCATCCGGTAGTATTCTGATATTCCTTTGGTTGGGCAAGTGCGTCCTTCCTTGTTAGAGTTCCATGGTATTTGGTGTCTCTTCAAACCCGGTATTATTCTGGTATTCCTTTGGTTGGACATGTACATCCTTCCTTCATTTGATTCCTATGGTATTTGGTGTCTCTTTAAAGTCTGATAGCAGTAAGCACTCCTTGGTTAGGTCTAGAAAGTCCTTCCTTGGTAACGACCAATAGTATTTTGGCGTTGATTCAAAAATCAATTTGTTCACTGACATTCCTAGGTCAAGTTTCAATGGTAATGGTGTTTCTTTCAGTTCTTGTAGTCTTTTGATATTCCCCAATTAGGTCTAGTAGTGACTAGCCTCCCCTGTTCAAGTCCAGTTGTCTTTGGCGCCCTTCTTCAAATTCAGTTTTGTTGTCTCACAAAAGTTTCTTTTCATACCCGCCAAAGCTCATTAGTGGAGGAACACACAAATCCTCATAACTTCGTCGCATTTCCAAGAGTTCAAATTTTACAGTTCTTTTGGTATTCAATCCTCTTCCACCTTGAAGGCTCGAAAGTCACTGTTATTGTCACCATTAGGTTTAAGATGATTAAATAGGGGAAGCTGTTGCACCCCAAAATTTGCCCTTTTTTTATTAACCTCAATGGCTTATGTTTCATCATCCTACATACTCATGCATATCATTTGATTATATGGTTATGGGATCAAAGTATCTTGTATTGATAGCTTCCTTCAGTCAAAAGAAAGGATGTTTCTCTAAAGCAATAAGAGGATGAGAGATCCTCGACATCATGGTGTTCTCAAGTCACAACGTTCTTCATTTCATTCAGAGTGCCTCAACAACATCCTATGGTCATCTGATGATTAGGATTTCATCATTAGTTTTTTACTGAGGATCATTGAATTAGGGTTCAATATTTTGGTGCTTGAGTTTGATCGAGATATTCAGTTAAGGATGACTTAAGCTAGGGTTTAGTCCCTCTATCGTCATGGGACCCTTCCTTATCGTACGAGCTTGTTAGTGTTCATCACTTAAATGTCAAGGAAGCTTAGGGGTTTGTGATCATCATTGCTCATATGCTTCAAATTTTTTTCGTCTACAAAGTTTTTCTCAAGGCATTCATTTTAAGATCATTGGTTACCGAATTGAAAAAGTCTTGGTGGATTGAATTACAAAGCGTGAATTGTGACGAGGTATGAAGTTGTGGATTCTTAGTGAGCAATATGGAAATTTTCTTAACTAAGAATTATTTTGATATGTTTCTTGATTGATTGAGATATAAACTGAGGTTATTTGTCATTCATTTGTCAAATTTAAATGGGTTGCTCAATTATAACCTGATTTGGATATATGGACCCAAAAGAGATTAAGATTCACTTTTAGGCATACCAGATTGGAAGAACTATACATGGTTAATTTCTTTGGAAAAAAGTTAAAAATTACAAGAAGATTTCATTCAAGGTTCTAGGTGCATCCAAGTTCCCCAAATTTCATTCATCATGTCATTTCGAAGTACAAAGTCAAAGAAAAACACTTGGAATTTCAAAGTTCGAATAGGAGAAAAAGGTCTTGTTCTTTAATACTTTTAATACCAGTACAAGTTACAAAGTCAATTCCATTACATCACTACAAGGAGATTACATGAAATTTTTTCTTAAATCTTATTCTAAAATACATATTGTCAAAAAACAACTTCATGACGAATTCCTCTTCAAGCTTTCAAGTATTGCTTTACATACACACACCTTAAACCAGATCAAGCTTTGTTACACAAGCTTTGTTAAACACCTTAAAATATCCATCATCATCATGCTCCATCATCTTCTTCAATATGTCGTCACTTTCAACATTCTTCACACATCAACGATTATCTTTCATCTCGGCACATCGCAAAACTTCTTCCACTACAACATTAACAACATCGTCCATTATCATCATCGCATCGACGCATTCGTCAACTTTTTGAAGGAATAACACCGCAATGATTAAATCGCAATTGCTCGAAACATAGATCAGAAAGGCTAAGTTGAAGCAAGACAAAGATTAAGAAGAAAGCTGTCGCAAATCGAACCAGAGATGTTCAAGTTGAAGCCGAACGCGAAGAGAGGATGAGAGATGAGGTAGAGATTCAAGGAAAGTCATGGTGGAGGGAACGGTGGTGGAATCGTTGGAGGATCGAAGGAGAAGAACGGTGCCGCTGTGTATTATGAATAAGGAGATCATGTTTGAGGAATCGGAATAGACACCACTCCTCTCAATCCTAAACTGCAGCGTTTAACCTCCTTCCCTTTCTTATTATTTTTTTCATTATTTATTTCCTTTCTTTTGATAATAATTAAAGAAAAAGGATAAATAATGGAGAATGGTGGAGGTATGGACTTTGCTGAAGCGTATGGGCATGAAGCGCATGGGTTTGATTCCCATTGACACCCTTTGCCTGATCCATGTACCACCTTGTTCATCTTTGATTTCCATTTTGTTTTTAATTTTGTGCAATTAATTGTTGATGATTCTTTCATAATTTTTTGGCTGAAATTTTGTGCGGATAGTAATATATTAGTCCCTAGCTAGATGTAGTTTTTCATGATTTTTACTATTAGTTTAGGAATTAATATGATTAAATGTTGAATTATGGTTAAAATTAAGTTTTTGTGATGCTATGGTCAATTCCTTTTGGTTTTGATCGATTTCTTGACATGATGATTGATTAGATAGAAGTTCCTAATTTTTAGATTCTTGGTTGAATGTGTTTTTGTTCATTATCACAAAAAACTATTGAAATGGTTGAAATCAATTCCTAATTTCATTAAGTGTTCATTTGAGTTGTAAACCTTGAGATGGATTCCTAATGCTATTTGTGCATGATAATGGTGCTCAATCCATAATACTTATTGGCATGATTGTATGGTAAGTTCGATGGAAGATTTCAAGAGGTCTCAAAGCTATCTAAGAGCCTAAGTTTCATCAAGAAAATTCGAGGAAGTTTTTGGTAGAGTTTTCTTATCGCTTGCGTGGCTTTGAAGAGGCGATAGACCTTCTCTGTTAGGTACCTCTTGAATCTCAATTTTATCTCTTTTGCACGTATCATGCTAGACTTTTATTGATTGATAGGGTCATGTAGAAGTAGTTGCATCAGAGTCCCTCTCTCAAGGGCAATATTTGTTGGCATAACTTATACATTTGTGTGATTTTTTATGATGTAATGCAAATCTCGAATTCCTGAAAATGCGTTCGTATGACGTGTTTGAGCTAGATTATGTAAGTTTGGAATTCAGATTCGAGTTTAGTGGGTGCAAAACAAAAAAGGCCTATCTAAAGATTCATATCCACACCCATTCCCCTTTGTTCAAATTTTGATGTCAAAAAGGTTTAGTGGGCCTAAAATAAAAAAGGCCTATCTAGAGATTCATATCCCCATCCCCCTTGCAAATGGGCCAAAGAGCCAATTTAGGAGTTGATTTCTTGATGGATTTCATGATGCCTTGAAATGTGATTGTGCAAGCTTGTTGCCATGCTACTTGTGAATTTAAATGACTCTTATCTTGTTTATCTTGAGGTTATATAATTAATGATTCCATTTCCTATTGCATGTTTAAGAATATTATTGTGATGTCCCGATTCACCTTAGCCTAATGCATGTTTAGGTAACTTTTGTTGTGATGTCCTGATTCATCTTAGCCTAATGCATGTTTAGGTAACCATTATTGTGATGTCCTGATTCACTTTCCTAATGTATGTTTAGGCAACCATTGTTGTGATGTCTTGATTCACCTGAGCCTAATGCATGCTTAGGTAACCATTATTGTGATGTCTTGATTCACCTTACCCTAATGCATATTTAGGTAACCATTGTTATGATGTCTTGATTCACTTTCCTATTGCATGTTTATGAATACTTTTTGTGATGTCCTAATTCATCCTCCTATTATTTGTTTAGGTATTTGTTGTGTTACTTGTACACTATATCTGCTGGTGAGATGCCATGCTCCCATAGAATTCTCGATATAGTCTTGGTTAAGACAAATTGAGTAGACTCTAGGTTTATAAACCAAGCATGATGGAAATTAATTAGGATTCCATGTGTTGTACTCCAAAATTTACCCTCTCATTTCTCAAGATTTTTCTCACAATATCTCTATTGGTTTAAGATTGCACAAGGTTTAATCAGCTCAAGATACCTCCTCAAACATTGATGACTCAAAACTAGGTTTAAGTTTGCACGAGTACAATTGGAATTGTAATGCTCCATATAATTTCCATGGATCATATTGGGCTCTCAAGCATTAGGTCGAAGATGGAACTTCTGAATCCTCGAAAGGAGGAAGTTGAAACTGTCGAAAGGGAAAAGAAGATAAAAAAAAGGTGTGGAGTTACAGATAACGATGTCGAATTTAAAATCTGGTCCAGGTTGTTCAAACCACATGACTGATCGAAATGAGTGGTTGGCAGATTTTGACAAGTCAAAGAAGAGCAAGCTTGCTTCGATCCCCAAGCTTCGACTGGGCAATGGATTTCTTTGAGCAACCTGCTTTGATCCACCTCTAAACCCTTCAACACACATAATTTTGACACTATGAGTTACAATTTAACACACCATCTAATTCATTGTGTCTAAACAATCTATATTCATCATGGTTCTTAGTCTTCTGGATACTTCGACTTGCACTCTCTTTGTTATGATGTCTGCAATCTGATTCTTAGTTCTGCAGTGTTCCAAATTCATCTTCCCATCTGCTACTTGCTCTCGGAGATAGTGGAGCCTCATTTCGATGTGCTTGCTTTGACCATGTGCTATTGGGTTCTTCGCCAGATTGATAGCTGACATGTTATCTATCTTCATGCTTGCTTCGATCCACAAGCTTCGACTGTGCAATGACTTCCTTCGAGCAACCTGCTTTGATCCACCTCTGAACCCTTCGACACACATAGTTTCAACAATATGAATTACAATTTAACAAAAAAACTTGCTGATAATAGTTCATTACAAGAAGAAGGTACTGGAAACATAGTCTTTCAAATGAGTAATGAAGGAATAGTTATGATTAAAGACGTGCTCTATGTACCTGGAATAAAGTGCAACTTGCTAAGTGTTGGACAACTAGTCGAAAAAAGCTTCTCATTTGTCATGAAAGATGGGGTTTTGAGAATGTTCGACACCGAGAACAATTTGGTCTTAAAATCTCCATTGTCGAAAAATAGGACATTTAAGACAATGATCAATTCGACAAAAGTTCAATGTTTGAAAACTGTTCAACCACAAGGATAGTTGGTTGTGGCATTTGAAGTTTGGACTTTTGAACTTTTGACCACTTAATCAACTGATTACTCAAGATATGATTTCTGGTATTCCAAGTCTTGAGATGCCTGAAAAAAACTTTGTGAAGTTTGTTTAGTAGGAAAGCAATCCAGAAATTCCTTCGTTTCGACTATGCCAATAAGATCATCTTTCATACTCGGGTGGTACATTCAGATGAATGTGGTCCATTCGAAGAACATACAATTGGTGGAAACAACTATTGTTTTGTCTGTTGATGAGTTTGGTCGAAAGTTGTGGATCTATGTGATCAAAATGAAAGGACGAAGTATTCGACATATTTAAGAGATTCAAGATGCTTGTCGAAAACCAGAGTAAGAAAAAGATCAAAGTTCTAAAGAGATTCAAGATCTTTGTAGAAGGAATCAAGTTGAAGACAAAATTTTGAAGAACATTGATCAAATCCATAGGCCATGCTACATGATCTTGCTTTGCAGGCCTCAATGCTTGTGTTTCACTCCATAATTAATTGTTTACACAATGAATTAAGCTCTTACCCAAGTATTTAAAATATTGTCCAAGCCAATTTTCCCTTAATGGCACAAAGTTACCATTGCCATTTTAGAAAAGCAAGATTTATGCAAATTGTCAATGCATTGAGCCTACACCTTTATCTCTGATTACAAGCAATATCAAAAGCATGAATCAAGTCTCCTACACCCAACAAACATCAGGCCATGCTTGTACTTAAACTTTGGAACCAAGAAAATCTATTCAACTTGATTTTTTCATTTTCAACTTAACCATAACATGTTATCTCAAGATTCTGGTTACTACAAGATGTCAAACCTCTTCCCTATAAATAGAGACATTATTTGCAACATAAAGGAGGATATTACCATCCTTAGAACACTCCCAAAACTCTCAAAAACTCAGAACCTGCACACAAGCACAAAACTTGGCATATCCTGACTTTACACACAAAATCTCAAATCCCTTCGTGTGTTTTTTGGCCTTTTGATTCACTAAGCTTCCATATACCACATAAAAACTATCCTAACCCTTAAACCACTTCTGTAACTCTTCCTTCCTCATCCACCATTTTCAAAATCCACCATTGCAGTTTGACTTTTCCAGATCAGTTGGGTAAGCTACAAGATATTCTAACAATTGGAATAGCTTCAGGAAGGTCCAGGCAAGCTTAATCCATCATCAAACCATTTCTGAAAGTCGTGTAGAAGTCATTCGAGTTTCACTCCAAGAGGTAAGTTTTTCAAACTTGGAACTCTTCATTCAAGCATCATTTGTATATACATTATGAAGAAAAGATGTAGATATCATGTTTAGGAAGCTGATTATGTCCATAGTTTTGATTATCATTGCTTATACTTTGAGAATTTCATCTATGATCAGTTAGGTCTTAATTTTGGTACTGAACAAAATTCATGTTAACCTTCGACTCATAACTTTTGAAAATTATGTGGTTAGATTCGTATTCAAAATTTAGGCAGGTTTGATGTTTACATTTTTTTTGGCTGAGAAATGAAGCTTTTAGAAGCTTAACAATGGAGTTATCATGGTCTGCGTGCGCAAGGAAGAAGAAGCTAGGCATTTCAAACATTCAGAAAAGAGTTCATTTTATATTTAATTGAAGTTATCTTATGAACGGGTGAAACAGACCACCTCAGTGGTACAAACAACGCACTAAAGTCTTGCCATGTAGAAGATCCTGGGTTCGATCCCCAGCGAGACCTTTTGTCATTTTTCCAAATTTTCTCACTTTTTTGTTTGCAGGAAGCACGCCTGGGCCTCCATTGGCTGAGCCTTGACATTTCCATTTTCTGAACCCCCCTGACGTTAATGTTATATTTTTATCTCATTTTCTTTACTTTATTTATTTTTATTATTATTATTGTTTTTATTAAATCAAAAACACCAAAGATATATTTAAATTATTTAGTTTATTTTTATTTAACTTACAATGAAAAAGACCAAAAACATTTTCCTATTTATTTTCTTTTCTTTAACGTAATCTTAATTTTTCTTTAGTTTAACTAAATTTCCTTTTAGTTAAATAGGCCAAAATCTTTCTTTAACAAAATCAAAACAAATTCATTTTCTTTTCATTCATGTCTTGTACATTATACTCCTTTCAATTCTTGTACATTATTCAAGTTTCAATGTGGTTGTAATAAATAATTAGGTTTAATTTCTTGCAATCTCCATTTGTAAATTTGTACACCCCATTCCCAAAATGATGTAATAGCATAAGACACTTATTTTCCGCAATTTATCGCTTTTCATATAAATGCT